AGAGAGACATGATTAAAACGCAGGGAAGTACCATAAGACTTATAACAGAGTCACGGAAAATAATACTTTTGCAAATACTAAACTTCCACAACGAACACAGCCGCCACCTCACCGGCTCCCATCCCACTCCCAGAAGTCTTCAGTCTGATTTTCTTTCCGTTATTTTTTTCTCTCCTAATTTTTCCCACTTTCTCGTATGTGTGGCACAATTAGCTCAGACTTGTGGGTTGTGACAATGAAGTAAATTGTGATAATGTGAGTTGTGATAACGATAAATGTGCTAATGATCCATCTTTTGATGCTATTATGTGATCTTATTATATACACTGCCTTTTATTTTTGTTAGAGCTGATCGCCAATGAACCTACTTTAGTTTTAGTGAATCAACATTTTTCAGTTTCCGTTATTATGACAGATATTCCTTCCACTCACCAATACCCGAGCATGTCATCTTCTCTACATTGAATTAACGTTGTAATGCTGGCAATTTAGAACCTTTGCATTGGTACCACCAGGTGAAATGTCCCCCCACCCCCCCAACATTCACACAAAATACAGTAGGATGTAGAATAAATACATCAGCGATATAGACATACAGTGTACATACCCAACCTGTATATCAAGACGGCATTTAACACTTGGCTAAGATATTAAACTATAATACACAATTTGTAAGCACTGTGTTGAAATAAACTATTTGTAAATATGAAAGCAATTTGTATATTAGATTTTCATCTCCAAACTGATGGTAATTCCTATACTTTGTAGTTTTTCAAAGGGAGGCATTGGTTGCTTAAAGATACATTAATACATTTGAAAGGAATGGAACTTCCATCCAACAGGTTTCTGACTCAACCATTACTGTTGTTAACAAGTAATTCATGTCAGTAAGTTGGTTACCACTTAAGAGGGAGATACCTCAGTGTCATATTATATAAAGATTACTAACTCTCTAGATCACATTTCTTTAAAGATAGCAATCGTAAGTACAGGTGACAGGAACTTTCACCTTCCCAGAATACTGATGAAGTGAGATCAGACGATGGGTACTAATGGTAAGATCTCATGATCGCGTATGGTCAGCTGATCGCGTGGAAGACGACTTCACATAAATGCACATTTGCTAAAAGAACTACTTGCTGAAAAAAAAATCGGAGTAGACAAGATTTGGATTAATTATGACTCTCCGAAATAGTTCATTTTTGTTCAGTCTCGTCACACATAGCACTGGCACTGCAGTTGACTTTGCATACCAATTTTACTCTGCAAAATATTCACTATGACCTCGAATATGAGCAAACGTTGGTGATATGAAATGATATTGCCAATGTAATATTTGTGCTACATCTACGTAATGCATATATCATTTGTTATCCTCACGCATGGTATTAAGCGGGGGGAGGGGGGGGGGCGATTCTCGAACAGTTTACTCGAACGCTCCTTTCTCTCGCATTTCTTCTCAACAGAACGGTCGGGTATAGTTTCGCATAGATAGATAGATAGATAGGCAGACATTGATAGACTGAGGGATGTAAATAAATAAATACATGAATAAAGAAAAAAAAGAAAAAAAAAAAAAAAAAAAAAAAAAAAAAAAAAAAAAAAAATATATATATATATATATATATATATATATATATATATATATATATATATATATATATATATAGTGTACACGTGTGTGTGTGTGTGTGTGTGTGTGTGTGTGCGCGCGCGCGTGTTTATGCATGCTGGTAAGTATATACCTATACATATACCTACGAAATGATATATTTCCTCACTATATATTCAAACTATAACCGAAAACACGTCCACTTCTCTGACAAGAATCGGCCTCGAATCCCGAGGCCTCACTCACCGGCCCCTTGGGCGGCGCTGAAGGTGGAGATGGTGCAGTTGAAGCCTTCCCTCTCCCTCCTCCTGTTGGACTTGAACTCAAGGATGAACTCGCTGGCCGACCCTGAAGGCCTCTGCCGACCGCAGTACCTGTAGCAGAAGGGCTGGTCTGTTAAAAACGTCAGTGATCATCGAGAAAAAATCCAGAAATTAAAAATCCAGTTAATTCGGAAGGAAGATGTAGATGTATCCGCTGGGCGTCCTTAAGAGACCAATATTTTTTTTATTATATCCAAAATAGAAGAAACTTGAAACCAATTCTTAAGAAAATTATATTCATTTATTGCAATTATCCCGTAATTAGCTAATACAAAAAGGCCAAAAATAACAGCATTTGGATATCAAGGTAATCCTTAATGAAAATATACAAGCTTGTCGCCCTTAACAGATAAGTGGATTAGAAGAAAGACTTAAAATAAATGAACTAGAAATAAAGGAAATCCGGAAAGAATATGGACTCACTCATCGCCGTTAACAGACAAGTAGTCGAGGCAGCCATTTTTCGATTTTCCTTGGAGTCTGAAGTTAGAGCACTCCAAATACAGCTGATTGTTCGGATCTGCACTCTGAAAAAAGAAAAACAAATAAACATTAAAAAAAAAAA